ATAGACCCTTAAAGAGGACGTGAGTTTCCCTGTCTTTAATTGTTTATTTTTCCCTTAATCTCCTTGTCCTAATTTCATGCTTTTTTGAGGGAAAATTTTGAATTTTCCTAAATTCAGCCCTGTGTAATTTGAAAATTTAAAAACTGTGTATCAAATTGTGTTTCTGGTTTGACCAATGAGGAAAATTTCGATGGGGGGGGGGGTTGAAAATAGCCAAACAGACGGGAGGGCGGATGTAAAACTGAATGTGTGAACACTTTTGTTAATTGTGAAAAGTAACAGGCATTATCGAAGTTTATTTGGTGTATTCGGGCCCCAAACCGTAATTCGAAATTTCTGACCGTTCCCGCTGGAAATTGGGATAAATAGTGGGAAAAACCCCCCACAAATTTGGCTACAAGGACGGAAAAATAGGGGACTGATTCTTTCAGCAGCACACCTTAGCTAAGTGACGCTACCCCTAATGTTAATGCTTTTTTCGTTGGCCATCATAAACTCTAGCTTTTAGGGTAGTTTGGGTGTGTTACACATAAAAAATGTGATCCCTAATTTAAAAGGTAAGTGGTAAAACGAAATTTTTTTTTAGTAACATATTGTTTGGGACTAATGTTATGGTACTTGTTTTGGGACTATTTTGTTTATTTTGTGTATGCGCAAATAACCCCAAAAAATACAGTCCACACAAATTTTTAATTTCCAGGTAGCTGGTTTTAATATTATAATTATTAAATGTCAGGTCTAGTTTTTATGAGAGTGTGTATAGCCCTTGTGGTTTGCGCTTCTTTTTGATTATAATAATAATAATAATTTTTTGGGGGTAGTGAGGTGTGGGATGAGGGAATTGACAGTTCTGCGACTACTGCACTAAAGTCCCCATTACTTACCAGATTATTTGCATGTAAAAATTCAGGTACTCCCCGTAGTAGGCAATTTTTCCCCAGTTGCTTTTGTAAGGTGGGATCTTTCCCTTTAAATTAGGTAAACTAAATAATTTGTGTTGCAGAGCTCTGAAAGGGAATTGCCCCCCAAAAATTTGTTAAGTTTACCTTGAATTAAAGGAAAGTCCCAGTCTTCACTCTAAAACAGGGCCCAAAGCAAATGCTATAGAAATTTTTGGACAGGTGATTATAGGGGAAAAATAAAATTTTAGAAAACAGGGGAACTGACTTGCCCCTTAAAATCCTAGTGAATAATACGAAGGATCAATTAAATAATTGTATGAGTATAGTTACATTTATGAATGGTGCAGACACTAAATAAATGATAAGAAACTTGCATCACATCAAAGGATAAAAGTAACAATATCGTGGCTGGAACATTTCACAGCAAGTTCGATAACTGGAGATGAAACTTAACGACGTTTCGGACCATTGCCCGAGTGACCGAAACGTCGTTAGTTTCATCTCCAACATGTAGGTTAGTTGTGAATAGCAAGATATTTGTCAATAACAAAGAAGTCAAAAATTTTTAGGTAATTGCTCTCCATCTTATGCGTCTTCGGAAGCAAACCTTCCTAGTGGTGATCATAGAGAGAAAGGGGGAAGGCTACGATAGTGCTTTTTAAAATAGTTATAGCTACGATCAAGTCAGATTTATGACCATATACTTTTCTCATATTGATACCAAATGTTTCTTTTAATACTTAAAACTGAGAAATATTTGCTTTTCAAAAATCCGTTCATAAAACTTTCCCAGTTAATCTCACACAATATGCATTGTTTTGCAAATATTTTTCTTTAATTATGTAATTTGTTTCCATCTATCATAAACGCCTCACTTCTCTGGACTGTTATGATTACTAAAAGTGGAAATAATTAGTAAAAACAAAAATCTATAAATTTGAGAAAAAAACTCAACGTGAATAGTGGAGTATTTAATACGATTTAGTTTCATTAATATGCATGTGATCACAGGATTAAAAAAAATGCACAATTAAAAAATATCATCCAATATAAATATAGGTAAGAAACAAATCTAATTTAAAAAGTGGTTCCAAATTTTGACATGCAATGAGGAGCATCAGTGCAATCGTAAGATACCATAAAATAATGGTTTACATTCTTGGGGAAGGGAATGTATTTTATACACTTGACAGCTATGGAGATAAAGACTATGGATGAAAGTAACAGATGAAACCCTGATGCTGGAGGCTTGCAGGAAGCAGACATCTGAGAGGCTAGTGGTGAGGTTCTCCAACTAGCAGGGGTAGGTGCTGGGGATGCTACATGATAATCACAGCTGCACATCTAGCTGTTTGAGGCTGTAAAAAAAAATATACATTTATTGTTTTTGCTTTAACCTTCTTCCGAGGGAAAAAGTAGAATGGTTAAGAATTGTGATAGGAAAATAGAAGGAAGATAGAGTGAAAAGACAAGAGGGAAAGAGAAAGGAGGGAAAACTATTATTATTTTGTGCATCCCCTATTTGAAACAATTAAGAAAACAAGAGAGAGAGAGAACGTATGAAGAGAAAACGGGTCGATAATGGCCGTTTATATACAAACGGCAAAAATAATAAAATTTTGAAAAAAGTGAAAAGAACAATAACTCGAGGACACACAGGAAATGGCATTAACCGCAAGTACTTCCCGTTCCACTGTCTACTTGCAGCGTGATTTTAAAAAGTACAACTGAAAAAATCGATAGTGGAGGAAATTCTTTCTATTATCTATCGGAAAATGAAAAATAATTTAACTCGCGAAGTTTGGGTATTAATCCACGTAGAATATTTCAACCTGCTCCCCGTAGGGCGTAGGACCTGGAGCCCAAGAGCTGTACCACCTCCCTCCGCTCTTGTTATGCGAGAGCAAAGTCATGGTCATCAGACAACGTTATCTCTTGCTTCACTAATGTTTTCCAAAATCTATATAACTAATAAATGCATAATTTATACAAAACACGTGTAAAAATTTGAAGAGAATATTCAAAATGAATTATCAACAAAAATCAGAATGGTGATATTTCAACATCATTCTGTACGTACACATTCCCATTTCTTCTACTTTCGTGTATATATTCTAGTTTTATTACTGCAAATGTTGAAGATATTGGTAGCTGTATTAATGTTGGTAGAATTACCGACAATGTGTAAACTAAAAGGACACAAAGGCAGCTAATGCGACATTTTATTTTGGCAACGTTTCGCTCTCCAGGAGCTTTTCAGGCTCCTGGAGAGCAAAACGTTGCCACAATAAAATGTCACATTAGATGCATTTGTGTCCTTTTACTTTACATATTGGTGGCTAATATCAAAGAAAACGTTTTGTGGCAGCCATGTTATGGCTGCACAGCTCAAACATAAACAAGTTTTATAGTTCCCACAACTTGCTAGGTAGTGTTTATTTGGTTATGTTATAAAACGAGAGAAGATCTATTGAAATAAGTTGCAAATTTATATTAAATGGAGGAACACTGACGTCTCATTTTCTCGGCTAATGGACGCCAGGGTACAGTATAGTCTATATTTGTCATTTATTATTTTATAATGCAAAAGCTGCGTGTTTAGAACACTTTTGACCCTATATTTTATATCTCCATATAATTCCCAATATAAGCATAATCTCAATTTAAATTAATCCTTTTCCTATTAAATTCGCAATGCAACAGCTCATGGAAACACTTGAAATTTTTCCTTTTAAAAATGATACTTCTTGGTAACCAACTTCAGGACCTCGCTCAGTAACACAAGGACCTCGCTCAGTAACACAAGGACCTCGCTCAGTAACACAAGGACCTCGCTCAGTAACACAAGGACCTCGCTCAGTAACACAAGGACCTCGCTCAGTAACACAAGGACCTCGCTCAGTAACACAAGGACCTCGCTCAGTAACACAAGGACCTCGCTCAGTAACACAAGGACCTCGCTCAGTAACACAAGGACCTCGCTCAATAACACAAGGACCTCGCTCAATAACACAAGGACCTCGCTCAGTAACACAAGGACCTCGCTCAGTAACACAAGGACCTCGCTCAGTAACACAAAGACCTCGCTCAGTAACACAAGGCACACACATGTTTATCTAGTTTATGAAGAATATATTAATAATTTGACTATACACATTTAAGCTTCACCATCAAAATGGCTGTGAATGTTAGTGGAGAGTGGGAAAAAAACATTAGGCCTAACCAGGTGGTGGATGTATGACAGTTTTTTGCTGTTTTTAGATATTTTTTTTAATCAGAAACCAGTCGGTGTAATGGTCATTTCTCCTCGTGATATGCAGTAATGTGGTAGTTTTATAATTTTTTGTTAATAAAAATGTCGTATAATCGAGCAAGTGTATTCTCTTTATACAATGCAGTAGTTTAAGTACTAATTTCTGTTATAATATTCGTTGTTAGGTAAGACACATAATGCAACAGTTAGTAATCTTAATTATGAACGTTTCGCCTACACAGCAGGCTTCTTCAGTCAAGTAGCAGAAAAGGTGTATGGAAGCAGAAGATACTTGAAGACGATGTAATCAGTCCATCACCCTTAAAGTTTTGAGGTGGTCATTCCTCAGTCTGGAGAAGAGCATTGTTACCATAGAATGAAACAATATTGTTTCATACTATGGAACAATGCTCTTCCCAGACTGAGTGACTGACCACCTCAAAACTTTAAGGGTGATGACTGATTACATCGTCTTCAAGTATCTTCTGCTTCAAATCAACTTTTCTGTACTTGACTGAAGAAGCCTGCTGTGTAGGCGAAACGTTTCATAATAAAGACATTCTAACTGTTGCATATGTTCTTACCTAACAACCTGTCGGTATTTATACCATTTTAATGTTCAATAATATGTCGTAAATCGAGCAATGTTTCCTCTTTATTAATTTATTCCTTTTAAATCTAGAATCACTATGACTGCCATTATTTGTTTGATGAGACGTTAAAAGAGGTTTAATGCATAACGATGGTATAAATTCAATATTGACAAATGCTTGTACAATACTTACCAACATAATGCCACTGTGATATGGGTGCGTATGGAGTTGGTCGCTCGTCCCATCATGCCCGAGCACCTGGACGAGACAGCAGACTGGCAGGACCAGTGCGGATGGGCTTTGCTGTAAGATACAGCAACGTGAACATTACAAGCCACAGAAGGAAGAGCAATGCACAACTATGTATATATTTAATCTGTGACAACTCAGTTTATCACAATAAAAGATTTCTCTGCAACTTTATTTTTTATATGATGAAGTTTTTGAGTGTAAAAAAAAAAGTCAAATAAATCACTGGTGTGGTTATATCAGACACAGAAGTAAATGTATTTACTAAACTTTTTCTCACTAAGAGTCGTAATATTTCATCTGACCTAATATTATATCTGGTCTATATAATAATTTCTGCAATATTAAAATTCTGAACAGACTCAGATTCTCTTGACCTCAGGTTGTTGGAGTCGTCACCCACGTGGAACATAAAACCAGAACTTAATACGTAATCCATTCCTCTTTAAACCATTAATAATTTAATTCATCATATAGGTGTTTTCCGTTAAGTAATTTATAGGGTTCTCTGAATTGTGTAATAGTTTGTTATTGTAACAAATATTTTATTGCATAATAATATGCAACAAAAAACTGTTGCATATTGTTAATAACAATGAAAATTTGTATTATTTACCATAAAGACCCGGGCCGGGAGAATACCGGCGAATAAAAAAAAAAAAATTACCATAGAACTTTTCATGCAGTTTTTCAACTAAATTAATTTGGCTCTGAAATATTCATATTCGTTAAGTTTTCTTTGACATGTTCTGGATCTATACTAAGTTATCCTATTTTTAATTCTATCATTATTCTGTTTAAGGCTCTTGTTATTCGAAATTGTATAGGCTATATTACTTAGTTAATTCTTATCGCAAATATATTTTAACATTAACATGATTTTTTTATATTATTTTATAATTGCATTTTAATATTATTGTAATATAATTTTAGATTAGATTTTACTTCATTAAAAGACCCCTTAGGGAAGGTTCTGGTGAGGGGCTCTTGATCTGGGGAATTTGATTTGTGTTCCAGTTCCCCAAATTGAGTCTGAATACCTTCCATCCCCCCATAGGCACTGCATAATCCCTACGGGTATAGCACTTTCCATTAGTAAAAAAAAATTAGTTCATTAAAATACAAAAAGATTAGGAACAAATATAAAATGTTTATAAATGACGATAATTTTTAAAGGGGTGGTAGACCGGTAACCCAGCGGAAGGCATCGGTCAGATGACTTAAACCCGCGTCAGGAAACACTTGTCCTGTTTCCTGATGAACCTTACCTAATTAGGAACAAGAATAACATGTATCATTCACAAAAACCTCTATTTCAAATAGTCCATCCAGCTCCCCCGAGGCAGGACACGTGATCAGGATGTTACAGGCATTTCCTCTCTTAGGACACGTGATCAGGATGTTACAGGCATTTCCTCTCTTAGGACACGTGATCAGGATGTTACAGGCATTTCCTCTCTTAAGTCATTGCAAAATTTATTAAAATATAAATTAATAATCTTCAGACGATGAAAAGTGGTCTGTATCCAGATCGAAAAATAATGTTTATATCGAATTGGAGAAAATAGTTCATTCTAATGCATTATAGTTCTCATATTTATGTTCCAACGGAAAGTCTTGTTTTATATATTTCTTAATTTTTTTGATGAACGTTAAACATATCTTTTTAATTGATGGTTAATTATCCTCGAAGCTTTTACATTGTCTTATCACTTACATCGTCTCTCACATGGGAACGAAAGAAGGAAACACGATATACTTACCAATATGAGCGCCCTGACCCCTCCTGGCAAGATTCTTCTGTCGCACAGCTTCCTTGATACGGTCAACTTCATACTGGTAGCGCTTCCTGTCCCTCATGGCTCCTTCTTTAGCCTCCTTCAGAGCGGTTTCGAGTGCCTGTTACAAGACAAACGTACTATAGCACCATTAACGCATGGATACAAAGTCCTACTGCCCATCAGTATTAAAAAAAAAAAGACACGGGAACAGGGCAAGATCTTAGTATGACCGCGATCAGTCTTCTGCAGTACTTTAACAAGTCTCATGATACTCTACACGGAGGGAAACGTTGTCATGATAAATACTTGTACTGCACCAGTGTCTTCCTTCAACCTTCAATATACTGTAGAAATAAAAGAAATTTATCATTCTCTCATATATATATATATTATATATATATATATATATATATATATATATATATATATATATATATATTATAAATATATATGCAAGGAATTCGCAAGAGCAGGCGAAATATACAAAACACTGATCTCTGGCTGAAGGAGACTCGAACCTACGAACCTTGGAACAAGGTACCCAGTGCTTTACCAATCTCACCACACTGGACAATACCTTGGCGTCCAGCTTGCGCTTGACGTTTGATCCAAGGCAGCCAGCTTTCAGGAAGAAGGCTTACAGCTTTTCATCTCATCCCCTGCATGCATCTAGTAAGGCTGATGCATGCAGGGGATGAGATGAAAAGCTGTAAGCCTTCTCCCTGAAAGCTGGCTGCCTTGGATCAAACGTCTAGCGCAAGCTGGACGCCAAGGTATTGGTCCAGTGTGGTGAGAATGGTATAGCACTGCGTACCTTGTTCCAAGGTTCGTAGGTTCGAGTCTCCTTCAGCCAGAGATCAGTATATATATATTATATATATATATATATATATATATATATAATATATATATATATATATTATATATATATATATTTAGAGAGAGAGAGAGAGGAGAGAGAGAGAGATTGATTAAATGATGAGATCCATCTCCAGTGTAAATATATATATATATATATATTATATATATATATATATATAATATATATATATATATATATATATATATATTCAATAAGATCACAGTAAACAGGTGATTTCAGAATATGCAAAACAACCACTATGAAAGAATAGAGAAATTCCAAGCGCTTTTGTGACTACTCACATTATCAAGTTACCATGATCGTTCCTTGATAATGTGAGTAGTTACGAAAGCGCTTGGAATTTCTCTATTCTTTCACAGTGGTTGTTTTGTGTGTGTGTGTATATAATATATATATATATATATATATATATATATATATATATATATATATATATATATATTAATATATATATAAACAGGCAAAACAAAAAAAAAGGAAAAAAAAAATAAAGTAACTGAACAGTTAATCTGGGAATATTAAAACTCAACGTTAAATATACATACATTAAGGTGTCTACTTAAAACCAAACCCAAAATGTGTAAGTAGCGTGAGTGGCAGAATGCATTCTTCTGATGCCATTATTGACATCTAGAAGTTAATGTTATTGCAGAAAAAATGATAGATCGTGAAATGCATAAGATATAATAAACTCAGTCAATGGTACCTTATTATTATTATTATTAAAGATTCGCCGGTATTCTCCCGGCCCGGGCCTTTTCCAAGTGGTGGCCCGGCCTTGGCTCCCTCTTTAGGGAGTGTCTGAGACCTAAGTCTACCATGGGAGGAGGCACAAGTACCTCCTCATCTTTGGGACCAACTGTCCCCAGGCCTAGCCACAAGCTAGGCCTCTCTGGTCTGCCATCCCCGCCCCAAGGGGGCTAATGGGAATGACAGTCTTATGAGCTAAAGGCTCGGGCTCAGGCACCTACCCTACCCTAGAAGGGTTAGGCATGGTGTCGTTCAATGGTACCTTATACCATCACATGACATTATAAATTATATATATGTGCTTCTTCTATTTATGAAAAAGTATGTAAACAACTTCAATATGGATGAAAAATAATGAGCCCTGTAAATTTATTAGGCGATCAAGTATACGTTATTAATTGTTAATAACACCGTCTTTACTTCTGGAAGTATTTCCAACCTTACTGCGCTAAACATCTTACAAATTTAATTACTGAAGCATCCACTTGTACCCCCATCCGCTCCTTCATATTCCATCCTTACCTATCCGTCTTCCTTCCCCAACTTACCAAAACTCTAGTTATAGCATTCTTCTTCTTCATTCACTTGCTATTAGACAATCCTCATATTATCTATTCCCCATCTGATATGCTTTTTCGTTTCAAAACTGCAGATATCCCCACCCCTCCTTCATAAATGTTACTCACACTCCAACAGTACAAGTCAGAAGAAGCAATTGCCTCCATTCACTCGTATCTAATATTCTCACACACGATTACTGGATGTCTACGCCTTCAAGGCGGTATAGGACGACTCCTATACTGCCTTCCCTACAGTACAAATTTATACGTACTCCAAGTCATCCTATTTGGTGTCACCCCTTTAAATGTCCGAACCCACTCATAAACCTCTCTTCAGACCTCTGGTAACCCCGTACCTGCTTCTTATCTCCAAGCTACGAATTCTCTGCATAATCCATACACAACACATTGCCCTCAGACTCGACATAGGTGATGTTCTTTGTCTCCACAAATGCCTCAATGCACCACTCACCTTTTTCCCCTCGTTAATTATATGGCTCATCTTGTCTTTCATAGATCCATGTGCCGACAAGTCCACTCCCAAATATCTGAACACATCATTTCCTTCATACTCCCTCCCTCTAATCTGATACCTAATCTTTCATTACCTAAAGTTTTTGTTATCCTCATCTTGCTCTTTCCTACGTTCACTTTCAATTTCCATCTTTTACACACCTTCCCAAATTCGTTCACAAAACCTATCCAACTTTTCTGTAGAATCTACCAAAAGCACAGTGTCATCAGCAAAAAAGCAATTGTGACTACTTAGACTTTGTATTAGCTTCTTCATCACTTAATCCGTCACATCTTCCCAACATCCCAGTATTCACTTATCTTACATCCTATCAATAAATATATTAAGAAAGCATGGCGATATTACGTGTCCCTCTTTAAGGCCCACCTTTACAGCACAATAGCATCCATCTAACCTCAGCTTCACTATCCCCACAAAGTTTTTTAACTACTTTCAGTAACCTACCACCTATTCCATACTCTTGCAACATCTTCCGCATTGTTTTCCTAGCTACCCTATTACATGCTTTTGCCAAATCCGTAGATGCAATGAAAATTTCCCTACCCTTATCTTAATTATATGCTTCAGTGTTTCATATGCTTCACTTGGTCTACACATTCCCTTCCCTTCCTCAAGCCACCTTGTTCATCTGAGATCCTGCTCTCCGTCTTACCCTTAATTCACTCAATTATAACTACCATACACTTTACCAGGTACACTCAACAGGCTTATTCCCTATAATTCTTACACTCTTTTGTCCCCTTTTTCTTTATTCAAAGGAACTATGCACGTTCTCTGCCAATCCCCAGGTACCTTCCCCTCTTACCTGGAGTATACCTGGAGAGGATTTCGGGGGTCAACGCCCCCGCGGCTAGGTCTGAGATCAGGCTTTCATACAGTTATTGAATAAACGCACCAACCACTCCAAAACTATATCCCAAATGTATTGGTATCAATGTTGGCTGGTATTGGCCATTTGTATGGTATCTATATATTTTATAATATTAATATTGATTACATTTGTGCTTAAAAATATCATTATCACTTGGCCTCACGATTGTGAGAGTTACTCTCACACACACACACACACACACACACGCACACGCACACACCAGGAGCTTGGAGTCGACCACTGCAACCTCAACTAGGTGAGTACACACACACACACACACACACACACACACACACACACACACACACACACACACACACACACACACACACAGCACACGCGCACACACACACCAAAGAAGCGGGGCCAAAGGGGCTATGACTCGACCCCTGCAACCACAAATAGGTGAGTACAAATAGGTGAGTACACACACACACACACACACACACACACAATATCGACAAGTACCTAGCACAAGTCAAATAATGAGAAATAACATTATTACTGAGTTATTTAATATTTAATCTTCTTGTGTTGTTTAATATCCATAATAAATTTAGAAACATATAGGAAAAATATCGGTATATTAGCCGAAATAGAGGTATCGTTATCGGCAATCTTTTTGCCGATACCGATAACGATATTTAATAAGTGAATAGAGGAATCTCTCAGTATACTTACACCTCTCAGGTCTATAGCTTACATCTTATACTGAGATGCCTGTAATTTTTTTCACGAATGTGCTACAAGACCAGAGATTCATGCGTTGGGCCGCATAAACTTTTTAATAATAACTATTTTCAAGTATAATCTGTTATTCTAAAATGAGGATTTTTGAACAGTAATAATTAAAAAAAATTGACTTAGTAAATGCGTGAATAGTTAAAAGCTAACGTAGCCAGTGACTGATGTAACCCCCGGAAGTACTGTGTGTCCAGGGAGATTTGTACTCAGGGAGTTTCTGGACCATAATAGGTGCTAGATAATTAAGCAAAAAATATAATGTGCTACAAATTTCGAGTGGGCCATGCAACGTTAGTGATCCGCATGTTGGGCGCCACTGTCTGCTATAGGCATTATACTGAATTTCCTTGTAGTGATATACCTTTACAAATTTCGAGTGGGCCAGCACTAGGATCCGCATGGTGGGCGCCACTGTCTGCTATAGGCATTTCGAGTTCTTGTGTGATATACCTTTAAAACTTCCTGATTAGGTATATTAGTGATATACTCTCTTATCTGGTATGCCAAAGTCTATTTTTATCTGGTATATTAGTCAATAAAATCGTTGTAGACATCGTATTAAGAAAAAAACAAAACTTATTAGTTTCTTCAGTGTCATAAAATTGAATGTACGTCTCTCTGATTCCGAATGTGTATAAAATTTAATGAATGTTACAACTACCTCTGTTCTCTTATATCAAGAGACTTCTACGATTTAAAACCGAATTAAGACCACATTATAGCCGAAGCTAAGAAATGTTGGGTTAATGTAACGTATGTATATACAGGGATACAT